GAAAGAATAAATAATACTAATTGATTGATTTGATGAAAATTAATAAATTACAGAATAATTAAATTAATGTTTGTTGTTCCTCTGAAATTTTCTTTGAAAAATACTGAGTGAATTTGGTTTTGAAATATTGGGTTTTTGATATATTATGTTTTTCTGCTCCATTTTTGATCTTTTTATAATAATATAGACAACTTAAATAAATGCCTGAGAACAAAGTACATGAACAGATTGCATTTGATAAAAATGCAATAAAGAATGGAATATCATTAATATCTTCAACACAAACAGGACATTCAGATTTATTTTGTTTTGGACATCCACAAGAATTAAGCGAACTATCTTTAAAACAACAAGAATTCTGGAATATGAATGAAGTAAACAAAGAATAAATGAATATTAACAAACTTTATTTTCATTAAATATTTTTTCATCTGAATTTAATGTTTTTATCTTTTTTGGTTCTCGAAAAGCAGCAAAAGATGATAAGAATATTGCTACAAAAAATATACATCCTATTAAAAAAATTAATGCATAAGTATAACGAATTTTTTTAATAGGATATAAACAGAGTAGAATACTCACTACCACCAACATTATTACACTCCCAGTCATTGCTGATATAAAAAAAAATTCTCTGATTTTTAATAAAGATGAACCATCCAAAAGATAGTATTTGGGTTGAGTAACAAATGCAAAAATTGAGCTACCAATAACAAGTAATGAAGAAATCTGTTATTTAATAACCTTTTAAAAGAGATAAAGTAAAATTAACAAACAATAAAAACACCAACCGCAATAAAAAGATATATCATTAAATGAGGATATAAGTCTTTCATATAAGAAACTTTGTAAATGAGAAATTTGAGATTTAGAAAAGAAAAAAATCTTTTCTGATGCTTCTATGAAATTCTATGTAAAATCATAAAAAGAAATATAAAATAAAAATATCATTGAAATATCAATTCAAAAAAATTTAGAAGGCTGTTGGAACTTTCTTAAGTTCTTCTGGTGTCATTTCATTCAAACCTTTAACTTTCACATATTCTATAGCATTAACTGGACATACTGATGAACAAAGAGCACATCCAATACATTTCTCATCATCGACACGATATCTGTTTCCATCCTTAACAATAGCAGTAGTTGAGTTATCACGACAAGATAAAGCACATGAACCGCATCCAATACAATTATTTTTAATGTGAGCATTTACTCTCCATTTTTCTGGTCCCTCAAGGATCTTTCTTTCTCCAATATGCTTCAAAGCAATACCAGTAACTTCAGCCAATTTTGGAACTGGTTTATCTTGTTTATTATCAAGAGTCCAGAATGGAGTCTTTTCTCCATATGGCATAAAGCTTTCAACTCCTTGACTATTAAGATAACCTCTAAGGTCTGGTCTTGACCAGCAGTATAAAATGAATTTAGTTCCTGAAATAATTTCATCAACAATATCATAACTCCATTTTTGAACTGAAGAACACATTTGAACTACTGAAGCACCTGTATAAATTAATTGCATAGCAGTTTCAGCAGATCTAACTCCTCCAATTCCAAGAAGATGACCTCTAACATTTTCATTATGGCGTAATACTTGAGCAATTTGTCTAATAGCAATTGGTCTAACAAGATCACCAGAAAGTCCACCAGAAATAGTATTTCTTTCAACACCAACTTGTGGCCATGGATGACCAGAAAGTGTAATTTCAGAGATACCAAAGACAGTATTAATTGTTGAAACTCCAGAAGCTCCTCCTCTCATAGCAGCTGCAGCAAGTTCTTCAATATTACCAACGTTTGGAGTAAGTTTTGGATAAACTGGAATATGAACTGATTCAACTACATATCTAGTACATCTTTCAATAGCAGCTGGTGAAACACCAATTGCCATTGCCATAGCATTATGAGACTTAAATCCACCTTCACATCCACCTTCATTTCCATCATTACCATGACATTCATTTGGACATGAGAAATTCAATTCAAGAGCATCAGCACCAGCTTCTTCAGAAAGTTTAGCAAGAAGATGCCAATCATCTGCATTATCCATACACATAATTGAAGCAATAACAACTTTATTAGGGAATTCAGCTTTTAATTTTTTAATTGATTCAAGCCAATAATGATGAGAATGTTCAGAAATCATAACAATATTATTATATGAAGTAGACTCTTGCGAATCATAAACTTTAACAATTCTGATATGATTATTCTTTTGTATATCTTTTTCTAATGGATATGTTTTAGTAAGAGCAAATCCAAAACCAGCTTGGAAACATCTCTTTAAATGTTCATAAGTTCCTGAAACTGGAGCAGATGAAATACCAAATGGATTTTCATATTTAATTCCGTCAACAGTGACTGAAATATCAACATCATCAACTGGAGTATGGAATTTAGGAATCTTATTAACTCCAAATTCTTTAGCAATAGAAGCAACAACAACTTCAGCATCATGAACGGCTTCAACAATTGAGAATGATCTTCTATAATCACCTCCAACATAAACTGCTCCAAGTCCATTTTCAGCTTTCATAACAAGTCCATTAGCATCTGGAGTTCCTTCAACAAATGAAGCATCTGGTCCAAAACCAAAAGCACAAATAACTATATCAGCTGGAATAAGTCTTTCAATTCCATTTGGATCATAAAGATCTTTACAAATAACTCCTTTAGCATCAAGTCTTTGTGGAAGAACTTTTGGAATAATTTCAATATTTCTTTCAATAACTCCAATCATTGATTTTTTATGGCAAGTTGCAGTTTTAATATCTTCTCTCATTACTAATAAGACTTGAGAAGCTCCATGTTCTTGTGCAGCTTCACAACAATCAACAGCTACATCACCAGATCCAAGAATAGCAACAGTCTTTCCTTTAACATCAATAGTATTATCAGACATACCATAAAGGAAATCACGAGCAAGTGGTGCATCACCAAAAGTATATGGTTTTTGTCTTCCACATCCAACAAAAACATAATCATATTGTTTTCTAAGACCTGCAATATCACTAGCACTAACTGATGAATTTAATTTAAATTCAATATTTGGATATGATTTAATCATTTCAATTTCAAAATCTAATTCTTCTTTAGCAAGTCTTTGTTCTTGAATTTCTTTTCTTAAGATTCCTCCTAAATAAGCATTTCTTTCAAAAACTACAATCTTCTTGAAATTACATCTTGCAAAGAAGGAGGCTGCAGCAAGTCCTGCAGGTCCTGCTCCAATAATAGCAACACTCTTTTCAATAACTGGAACATTACCAATGGTTGGCATAATTCTATATTCTTTAAATCTTTGAAGAGAGAAAGCTTGAATTGCATTAATATCAATAGCACCAGCATGTGTTTTGGACAAGTTGCATCCAGCTTTACAACATTCTTCAGCACTACAAAGATGTCCACATGAAAGAGCAAGTGGATTAGCAGTAAGTGCAACACGAGCAGCTTCATAGAAATTATGTTCTCCAGCAGCATGAACCATTCTTTTAGCATCTAATTGAGTTGGACAACATCTCATACAATTTGGTTCAGCACAATATAAACATCTTCTAGCTTCATGTACAATTTCAGATTCACTATATTGTGGTTTGAAAGTTTTGTTATAATCAGTAATTTCTTTTCTTTGAGCACGAAGGCAATCTCTGTTTTGAATGTCAACAAGTTCAATATCACACATAGCAAGAATTAATACCTTTCTTATTCCAAGATTGTCTTTTTATAATGTTTGTCATTTTTCTTCCAGAACATTTCAGATTGATTATCGAATTCTTTCTTCTTGATGGAATCTCTACATTGCTTCTTCTCTTCTTTATTTTGAGCCGTCCACTTCTTCACTTCCAATTCTTCCTTCTTCTACCTAAAAGAGAATCCTTCGACATAGAAAACTCGATTTTCTTTTTAGTTTTTAATTTATTTTGGATGAATGAAACAAAATTAAAAAAAAAAAACATTAACGATTGTGTTTTTAATTAATCATCTTATAAATTTTTCTGTGAAAAGTTCTTCATTAAAACGGGTTTAAACTATTCTTATGAAAAATAAATAAAATAAAATAAAAATGAATTAAAGTTCTATTTTTTTTTCTTTTAGTAATAGTTAATTAATGGAAAACGAAGATTATTTTGAAGACATAGAATATGGTCAAGACAGAAATTTTCAGATTGAGAATAATGATGCACTTCCTGAGAAGAAACCTTTCATAAAACCTAAAGAAGGAGTTGTCTTTATTGTCGATTGTCATTCATATGATGATCAACCATTTGATAAAGAAATAACTGAAGCTATGATTCGAATGATGAAACAAACACCAATTTTTTATCCAAAAGATAGATTTGGATTGATATTTTATGGAAGTCAAAATAGTACAAAGTCACTTGCTGAAGGTATTCAAAATGTTCATATTTTGCAAAATGCAACAATTAAACTGTTAGAAGAATATCGTAAATTTTTTGATAATATCAAACCATCCAAAAAATTAATTCCATTAATTAATGCATTTCAAGCTACTCATAAAATATTTCAAGCTGCTAACATTATTAACCAACCAAGAATAGTATTTGTTGTTCCTCCTCAATTCTTTACTCATCACCAAATTACACCAGAAATAAATGCATATATAATAAATAATCCACCAGAACCTATCTTTTTTTCAAGTAAATACCAAATTCCACAATTTCCTTTTAAATGCTTCCCATTGAATCGTCTTGAACGAGTTTGTATTTCGTTTCATAAAAGTTTTGGATATTATTATGACTTTATTCCATACGAAGGATGTAGAATAAAGGTTATAATTAATAACATTTCTACTTCTATATCCGCTTCAACTCTTGGTAACGTACTTGTTGAAAAAGAAGGATGGAGGGTAGTAATTGGTAAAATAAGAAAAGAAGAAATGCCAGATGGTGAAAAAAGAGAATTAACTGCTCATAATGAAGGAGATGTTTGGGATTATTCATTTGGGTCTAAAAAAATTACTTTTACTGAAGAAGAGTATCAAAAATTACATACTATTGAAGAAAAGTATAGAAATAGTATTATCGTTAAAGGTAAAATATCACAAGATTTCCTTCAATCTACAACAAGTTCTGCTTCATTTATTCGTCCTATTGAAGATAGTGGATGGTATGACGCTCTTTATCAAACATTATTAAAAGAGAAACAAGCATTACGTTGTGATTTCTTTAGTAGGTCTCAAGTGAAAGATGTTGCTATTGTTCCAGTTAAATCTACTTCAGAATTTATACCAAGTGGGTTATATATGATTTATTTACCATATATTGATGATGTTTTAACTCCACTTCTTTCTGAACCAGAATTTAATATTCATTCAACTAATTGTAATGTTTCTCAAAATCAATCTATGAAAAGTTTGATTAGTAAATGTACAACAAGTAACATTGATTTTATGGCATTAAAAAATCCTGTTATGGAAGAAAGAATAAACGCTATCATTGAGGCAATGAAAATTGATCTTCAACAAGAAAGTACTTTAGAAAATAATGAAGTTCCTATTGATGATATTCAAAATGTAAAAGACCATTTCATACTTCCAACAAAAAGAATTCGTCCTACAAAACCAAAGGAACAACTTAAAATTGATGATGATATGATGTTGGATATATACCATGGTATTTGTTCAGGAAAAGGAAATACCTACAACGCTAGTTTACTAAAAAAATTTCTGATTCAATCAAATGTTTCAGTAACTTCTCGGGATAAAAAAAGTGATTTAGTAGAAAAGGCAAATAAATTAGTCAAAGGCATTCAACAACAATTAGGCGAGAAAGAAGAAAATGATAACAACTCAACTGTTCAAGAAAAAAAAGATATTTAA